GTGGAAAGCGCGAAATTCAAAAAAAACGGGTAAGGAGCGGGCGCGGGTGTACGGGAGCGCGCGGGCGCGGGGGGGGGCTTCGCCGTTCCCGGAAGTTACTTACTTCCGGGTTCGGCGACCAACCGGATCGCAGGGACCGGTGCGAACCGGTCGAAACCCAGCCCTGCTACCTACCTACGTACCTATCATATGTCTAAAATTTCCAGTAGAAAAGATTGTAGTCTAGTGAGGAAACCCAGGTTCTAGTACTTTTTTAGGCATGGATATGCCAGAATGACTTTGTCCCAAGAAGGAGAATGGGAAATCAAGACAAATCTATCTACTGTGCTGACCAGCCTTTTAGGTGTTCATTCTATAGCGAATTAATTCAAGATGAATAACACATATGAAATCATTTAAATGGCCCAAACTAGAAAAAAAAACCTTGGTATTGTTAAATGAGATCTCCTAAGATACAAGGCGAGAATATTGAAATCTCACAGGGTTCTATACCCTCACATGAAATTTCAGTCCTTATCTGAGATTGCATGAGATCCTGGACATTAGATCATCAATAACCTATTAGACTGTAGTAATTTTAAATTTAGTTTTAGTTTGGTTTCACTGCATGATGATACATCATGGTATCACACAAATATAGAATTAGTTCTCTGTGTAAAATACAGAATAAACTCACTTTCCTATGCCAGAATAAAAACTTCTAAGGAGTTCTACCGCTACACACACTGTTTATAAATTTAATCCTTGAAACATTGAAGAGAACATCACATCCTATGCAGTTTAAGATCTGACAAGGAATGTAATAAATTATATGATGTTGAAACACACAGAGCAATTACATGGCTGCAATCCGTTACCAGATTGGAATGACACAGACAATGACATTTCTGCTTCAGGTCATGGCCTGCATAAACAAAAAGGTTTTCCATCAAGTAGCCTTGTTAACTTGCATATAAAGTGTGACACGATGGCAAAATCTTTCTTAGCAAACAGCAGCAGATTGCTTGGCTGTGTGTTAATGTGGTTAGGTTATTTGGGATATTATCCTATCTCTCCACTTATGATTAATTTTGGGGTGTAAGCAACTAGCTTATATGCATAAAGTGGAAATGAAATTTTAAGAAGTTCAATTTTGAAGTTACATAATTAACTTTTCTAAAATTTCACCAACGACTTTCTGAGACTTTTCTATCATATTTTTCCAAAGTTCAAGTCAGATTTTGAAGAAGCAAAAAACAGGGGTATTGACACTTTTGAACTTTAGTGTTTAACAATACAAGCAAGAATAATATCATAGACAACAAAAACAAACAAATAAATGGATCATCAACCAAATCAGTTCAGAGTTCTAACTTGAAATTATCTGGCTTTAGACAAATTACAAAGACTTAGATCTCTGGAAAAGACTGAGAAAAGTGAAATAAAGGTGGATGAACTCAATTACAGTAGTAATGTATATACCACTGGAAGACCAGGTTAAGGATAGATCATCGTGAGGGAAAAAAATCTATGCAGTTGCTAGGAGTTGAAAACAACTTGATGGCACATAATAATTAAACAAATAAATCTCAAAAATTAACTCTGAAAAACTTGCTATTTGATCTTTTATGTTTAAATTTAAAGCAATTATATGGCATCTTATTTTGTTCTATTTAATTAAACTGCTTTGTACATTATAAACAGTTGCATATTTTATAAATTCATCAATACCCATAAATTTCATTTTCTCTTTCTTTTGAAGCAATATTGGAAACAAAAGTAAAACAAATTATTCAGTCCCATAAAGGGGTACGGGATCTACACATTTTATATCCAAATCCCAGTAGCAAGCAACATTCCCAGGGAAACAATAATCATATTCCTAAGAGTGGTGAATTCATCAGGTATCATGGTAAAATATCTAGCCAGAATGGTCTTGGACAAATGTCTTGGACAAATGTCCTAGTACTCCAGGCTTGAAAGGCTGGTAGAGCCTTTCAAGTAACCAGATGGTCTAGATCTCTTCCAGGTTTAAAACAATTCAATTTTAATAGAAATAAAAACAATAAGTTAAATGAAGTTATAGAAAGAAAAGTATGATAAAACTAAAACAAAGTTTTTAAAAATCCAAGCCTAAGTTTAAACGTAAGATCTTTTTGAACTTAAGGCATTAGCCAAATTACTTTCTATTCTTTTACACTGGCCCTGGGTTATGAAACAAGGCTTCAAGCATGATACAAATTCATGAAAAATTATACTTCTGAAGTTACATGAATCACTAAATCAAACCATCATAAATCATAGCCTAAAGCAATTCCTATTTGTTTTCTGGTTCTTTTCCCTTTCCACCCACTTTTCTAATTCTCGATTCATCTCTAAAATATGTTTGCATCAAATAAAACCTAACACCTGTACCATCAACAATATTTATCAAAAGCAGAACATTTAAATTGACATCAATTTATCTTTAAGGTATTGTTATACCAACAGTAATTACATACAATTTACATGCAAATACAAGACTGCAGTGTCAGTCCCCAGGCTGTTTCTGATCTGCGCAGTTACACGGAAGATGCCAACATTTTGATAGATGTGCCTGATTCCTTCTTCTGTTGAGCTCAGATTGGCATATGACACAGCACTACCATCTCCAAAATCCACGCGGATTATTGATCTTTGAATGTCACCCTAAATAGGAGAGCAGGAAGGAAACCAGAGGTTAATGAAAATGCTGCAAAATTAGAGACAATTGAATGAATGCTCACCCTTCTTGTCTATTAATTGTCCTGGATGGATAGGCTGCTTTAGTTCAGAATTCAGAATTCAAACCTTTATTATCAGAGTACAACATGTGTACAATGAGATTGGCTGAGTCTCCTTTCGTGCATCCCCCCCACACCCAAACATAATACAACTCACAGTGAAAGACAGAAAATCCCTAGCCCAGTGAATCCTACTAGCAAAGTTACAAATGTCTTCAGTTTGGAAGTAGAAAACTTTGTTTCCAGGATCTAGTGAAATCCCTAAAGCTAAAGAAAGACTAAAATATTTAAAGGCAGAGAACACAGTACAGTGGAGAGAAAGCATTCTTATTATTTCAGTATAGGGACTTTCCTTTTAAATTTCATTTAAAGAAGTTAATTTTGGTCGGTGGCCAGACTTCTGTTAACAAAACATGGGAATAAATTAAGATAAAATAATTAAAATAAAATGGAATCAAAAATAAATTGAATACAGCCTGGACAAATGAAACTTTCCTACTTCTTGGAACAGTGAGACTCTTAACACAAAGGCCTTAGTGAAAAGACCCCCATAAATAAAGCTAGAAATATATAAACAACAAGAGGATTAACTATTATTGTTATTCTTAAACCTGAAGGAAGTTTAATCAACTCAAACTGTACTTAATGAGGTCCTACTGAAACTTGCTAGCTATTAAACAAAACTTGATGACAGAGCATCATTATGTTCAGCTAAAACATAACTGAAATAAAGGAAGGAGTACAGCCTGGAAAATGAAAGTGAGATAAGAAAGGTGATCAAAAAAGCAACATTGAAATCTGATTCAAGGTATCTTTCATTTGTTATATTCTACAAATACACACACATATACACACACAAACACACACACACAAATATATCCAGGATCCATTAGAGTTGTGGAGCCAATGCATTTAAATAAATACAAATAAATTTTAAAAGTCCATCTCTTACTGAGAAATTTCATATAAGGCAGTGTGCATATGGGCCTGCATGCACATGTACTCTATGACAGAGATAGAGACATTTTTATGCTGTAATATCGTTATAAATATTTGAATATGATCATTCTATTCGTCCTTTACAAATAGCACAGTTCTCTGTGTGTTTAACTGGAAGCAATTCTCAATTTTATTCTAGGTTAAATATGCAAAGAACTGTATCGCTATTTTATGCAAACTTCTTATGCAGAAAGAAATAATGAAAGCTCTCTCTCTAAAGAAAACACTTTATCTGGCATCAACAGGAAGTTGATATTTATGCATGCCTTTGAAAGGTCATTTTAGTGCTTAAAATTGGCACATTAAAATCTGGTGCAAAGATTAAAACCAAAAAATAATTTTGGCATTGAAATAGTATCAAAATGTACAAAATTACTTTTGTTGGTTTATGTATATGCAAATTTAATTTGAAAAGCCATGAGAGTAGAAGATACATGCATTTTTATCTTCCAGTGTGTGTGTGTGTGTGTTTGTGTGTGTGTGTGCGTGCATGTTAAGGTGACCAGATTTTCAGATTGGTAAAGAGGGACACCTTTGACCAGGGGGGGGGGTTGATTAAAAATTTGACAAACCGGTTCTACCGAACTGGTGCGAACTGGTAG